TTGTCCAACCCTCTTATATCCTTCAGAACTCAGTGCCAGCGTCATGCCAGAGCTGCTGCTGCCCTCGGCTGGTGGGGGGCCTCTCCTTGTGCCCACTCCCTCTGTTTTGTGCCCAGCATGTTGTCTTGCTGTGATCTGCTTGCAGGTCTGTTGCCATTAAACTGGCCCCTTTTCCCTACGGCAGGAACTGTGTGTATTCCAGCATGTAGCACAGCTCTGGGGACCCATAGGAGCTCAAGGTACCTATAGGGAATGGGATTTAATGAGACAGCCTTCTAAACACATTATCACACATCCTCAGAGGGCACGATCCTGTAAAGACTTCAGTCACAGCTGAGGGAGAATGCCAAGCTGCTTACCCAAGCTCATATTCAGTCTGAATGTTTATGTGCACAGCCCAGAAATGTGGGCCTGGAAGCCACCAGGGCAAGGGTGGACTGGCCAGACATGGACAGCCCTAGAGTACTCCCAACCAGAGCAGTGCTGACCCATGCCAGTGTCAGTGGCTGCCATCCAGGCCTGGCCCCACTTCTTCAGTCTGAGAGAGGCCAATACACACCAAAGGAAGGATTGCTCTCTGGCAGGCATATGAGGACAGGGCCCACACCCTTGCTAGTCCTTCCCACTCTGGCACTAAGCTGGAGGGCTGTGTGTGCCTCTCTCAGAGGTAGTGATTACTGTACTCACAGTGGGGGGAGTTTGGCCTTCCCAGGCACTGCCTGAGGGTATTGGTGACTGGGGGAGTGAGGAGATAGTAATATATCCACCTCTGGCCTCCCCTCCCTACAGTTAAAGCCACCAGCTAGGCACAGCCCCTCCTGACCTGAACCTAGTCATATCTATGCTAGGTCAGGAGGTAGGAGATGAGGAGCGTCAGACATATGAATAGCTCTGGCTGGGAAGGTTGGTAAGTCTACCGTGGGGAAAGCTGATGACGAGCTGCTCACGTGGAGTGCCTGAGTCATCCATTCACAGGAGTAGGCCTTCGCCCATGGGGGTTTCCACAGGAAAGGAGACCCAGTTCCTGTTCACAGGCCACTCGTAGCCCTGAGAGGCATGATACACACTAAACAGATGGGAGCTGACCTGACAGAAGACTGCAACATGCCTGTGACGTGCAGGATGTTTTCTTACCTTGTCTTGTACCCTCCATTCCCCTCATCCTGAAAGTCTCGTCCCTGCCAGCTCCAGCCTGGCTAATTTGTCACTCAGACTTCAGGGCTCAGTTGAGATGTCACCTCCTCCAGGAAGCCTCCTTGAACCTCTTCGACCCGACCACCAAGGCCTGGCTTTGGGGCCCTGACATATGTCTTTGATACCTGTGCTTTTTCTCTTGCTACTTTGATAGCACTGTGTTGAATGAAAGCCCACTCACTCAGCAAGAGGAAGGCACTGATGAGGGAAGGATGAAGACTGTCTCCCCACAAGAGGGATGATGCTGCAGAGGGAGAGTGGGCTGGGGGGGGCGGTGCAGGGGAGGGGAGGAGACAGACCTACTATGACCAACACCCTGTCCCACATCTACCAGGACTTCATACCCTGGTCAGGGCATCAAACTGCTTTTTTATTTCAAATAAAGAGGCTCTAGTCTCTGTTTTAAGCTCCTAGTGCTTTATCTCTCTCTGGGCCTCCATCTCCTTAACTGTAAAATGAAGAGCTGCACCAAAAACTAGTTCCCATCCAGTTCCAATGGCTCCTCTTTTTCAAGAGGGACATGGGTTTGGGGTCAGAGGGACTGGGTTCGAGAACCAGGGCTCCATGTACCCTGTGAGTCCCTGTCCAGGTTATTTAATATCACTGATCCACAATTTCTTCATCTTTAAAGTGGGACTGATAATCCCAACTACCTCTCAGATTCTTGAGATTAAATGTGCTATCAGGTGAAAAACACTCTATATACTATAAAGCTCTGTGTGAATGTCG